CCTAAGTACAAACAAAAATAGAGCAGAAATTGGAAGGCTTAAGAAGGTCAAGCAGAGGTATTTGTAAAAGCTTGTTCAGTATTTTAGTCAGAATGAAACTTTCCTAAAAATAATGCAAGAACCATTAAATATCACTTAACATTACATCCATCAGAATTTAGTAGAAAGTCTTTCCATAATTACAACTACTGATTCAAATTCAAGTCAGTTCCTTCAGTAAGGACCTTCTTACTGGTTTTTATTTTACTAGGCTAGTCTTAGTAATGAAGTTCCAGTTAATGTTGTTTATGAATATTATGCATTCACTTTGCACCATTTGAGAACTTTTATGTTTCCATCAACTGAACAGGACCATATTCCTTTAAAATTTGGATTATTCAGATTTGTGTGATTTGGCTTAAACTTGTTGAACCATCATATCAAATTATCACAGCAACTAACTTTTCCAGTTCTCATTTCTGAACAGCTATCAGTAGAGGACACAGTCACAAAGGCAGTCTTACACACAACACTTTGATTCTTCCTCCGGAATGATGATTTCCACTGGACTTTTCAGAGCTCAAACACACGTAACCTTACATGAAAATCCGTAGCAGTTACCACAAGTAAGGAAATTTGCCAGAAGGCCTGAAGATAATTTTACAGTTAGAGGAATGATTGACAGAAGCCACTAGGAATTATGCTTTCATTTGGGTTTTTTTTCTTTTTTTTTTAATTAAAAAAAAAAAAAGTCAAGGGACTTTCAATGTAAAGACTTGTACTTAAAACTATTATGCTTCTATTTGAGGACTCACAAGATGGCAAAATATAAAATATTTGCTTCCTTATTATTATAGCTGACCTTTAAAAACATGTTTTTAAGTATACTGGCCATTTTCATTTAGCTATTGTAGTTCAAAACTTTGGAAGCATGTCACTATCGTGAACGTACAGAACAAACAACGTTGGTTCTCAATCTTTTTCTGGATTAAATTAGTGTAGCTATTTTTATCTAACACATAAGCATATATTAAACATCAGAAATGGAGGGACATGTAGTAACCTACCCAGCAAGTAGGCTCCCACTCTCAGTCATACCTTGGAGAAGATGTTCTCTCTATTACAGAAGTAACACAACCTCCAAAAACTAAAATTAGTATCTATGAATATTTACAGTCTTGACCGTTTCATCATTCAAAAAAATTAACGATACTATTTATACTGCATTGTTAACTCCTTTGTTAGAAACCTATAACCAAAACTAAGCCAACATTCAAACTTATCCAAAAAAATAAAGAAAAAAACCAAAACATTTTAAATGCCTGAATTAATATTATCGTGCTTTCATTTCAAAAGCTTACTTAAATTTTGTCATATTAATAAAATACCCACTCTACGTACACACACTGATTTTGCATCTTCTACATGTTGCAATAGCCTTCTACATTAAGACAGGAATTTTGTAATAAAAAGAGGGCACCATTTTACATTCAGAATACAAGGTTTCCAGCAGGACAAGCAAAATAAGTTGTATAGCTATAAATCACTCTTTGGCTATATCTTTTTATAACAATGCTTGCATTTGTACACAGTTAAAGCCAAATTACATAGAGATAAATTGGCAAAAATGTCCATTAGTACATAGTGGAAGAGCACTAGCTGCATTAGTACCAGGAACTCCACTTGTATATATTCCCAAGGACCTGCATGAGCTGTACAGCCCACACTGAGACACGTACTGCTACAGCTACAATGCTGTTGGCACTCAAGCTTTACAGAGTAAAACCAGCTGGGAGAAGCCTGCTCATAACTCATTCTGCAATATCTGATAAAGTTCCACATAACTGTTGGTATTACCTCAGCAGAGCTCTTACAAAACAAAATGCCCATTTCACCACAAAATTTATTGAAAGATCAAGGTCAACCTGGTAAAATATGCGTTCAATTATCTTTTAAGGATGACCTCATGTGTGATGACTTATGTTCTCTCTTTGAAGATAAATAAATGAACTTCCAAAATAAATAACTAGATAAATAAATAAACAAACAAAAAAACCCACTTCTTTTTTTTTTTGCACCTATTTAAACGACTCAGAGGTAGTATTTTAGAACACACAATAATGGAAATTATTTAGTTTACTGAAAAAAAAAATCCTGTTTTGATTTTTAATTTATTAAATCCCAGTAATATACCAGTACCTAAATTAGGCACTCGAGCAAGTGACTGAATTAAGGATACTAATTTCCCTTCATTTTGAATCAACTTAAAATTTTGAGTTCAAAAGTTCTAACGTAACACTGAACTCTCTTAATGCAGGTAATCAATAAGGACGAGTTTAAACTAAAAGGAAAAATGTTAACACATCTTCTAAAAAGCTGAGGTAAAATTCAACTATTTGTAAAAGACTAAACTGCACATAAACAAATCATTGCTTACTACCAACTTATTCTCTCATTTGAGAATAAAATATCAGCCAATTTCACAGATGTGGTTGTGATGCACAGTTACATCTACATCAGATGCAGAGACAGGTATGACAGAGTCACCTGACACATCTCCATAAACATGCAGTCTTCATTTAATGTCTTAACCAGGCAAAAGCTCCAACAACTGTTTGGGGACAGGATGCTCATTTGCAATCGAAGTCAGTAAATAAATATATATCTGTTCATCAAGAACGAGACTGGATGACGGGAAAAACTTTTGGATCTGCAAGCAGTATCACAAGCATAATCACAAGCTGACTGATCCTCCTCTCTTGGGGCATCCAGGGCCGCTAAGACTAACTCAGCTCTTTGCTCCAAGATTTGGTTGTTGGCCATCTACTTACACTGGACTTTGCCACTTTTAAGAGTACTGATAGAAACAACACCCATTCAGAATGACACAGTATTTCTAATGGTATGGAGAAAGTGAAGATGGCCATGGTCAAGCTGCCATGAAGTAACATTTGACCTCAGCTCTTATTCAGCAGATCACCCTACAACAACCTCATAGCTATTTTCTATTATGATTTGGCAAAGATGAGACAGTAGATAAATGTTAAACAGCCAAGTAGGATATATAAGAAGGTTTACATATCCATCTGCCTATCTCAGTCACACCAACACTTTCTCATCTGAATTTGACAGGAACAGAAAAAGCAGCAGCTGACAGAAGACTGGCCCTCCCCATTCACACCTTGCCTGAATCAGCCAAATCCTCAGAGAACCACTGGGTAAAATTCATGCATATATGTAGGATGTCTATTCACTAGTGAATTACAGAAATCATACGTAAATAATCAACAGGACAAAAATAACCTGCTTACACAATAAAAGCCTCTTGTGCCGAAAGTTAAGCCTAAAACAACACACATGGGTACAAAATCATATCCAGACACTATATCCTGCAAGTCTACACCAAAATACCAAAATCAAAAACTTTCAACAAAAGCTTGTAATAAACCCGTATCATGAAATATTTAACAACTTAAAAGTTGTTACTGATGTACTAAATATCTTTCAATGTTTTTGTATCAAAACCATTAGATCATTTTTACATTGTTTAACTTCCTTTGTATTGTTCTTAAAGTGTTTGTGGTTTTTTTTTTTTTTAATTCTCTAGTCCAATTATTCAGTTTACTTCCCTAAAGATTAAGAAAAACCTGGACTTCCTCCATGTGGGTGTACCTAAGCTCCATCCTAACAGGCAAAATTTTCATAGCATACAAAGAAACCAGAGAATCTAAAATATTACTTATCATGCCAAACATACAGCAAAGTGAAAGCAATCAATCCAGATGGCTCAGATGGTACCACAAACCTTCAAGAAGTATACTCAAACTACTAATTCTGTTTTCTGATCAGACAACATGCTCATCTTCTGTTCAGCCTAATAATTACTAACCAGTTACATTCACTGTTTTAAACAGTCACAGAGCATGACTTGGATAGAGGGATGCACACAGGTTGAATTAAATTTTACAAGCAGTCATTAAGTGACCTGCAATTGGAGTCCTTTTGCAATATTAAATGTTAAAATATTAATAAATTTGTATTTGTTTCTGGACCACTTACAGAAATTCTTATATGCCAGAGAGTAAGGCAGACCATAAAGTATATTTTAAGTTTCTAACAAAAGAAGACTACATGAGAAGGTTTTCTTTAAGAGCTAGTAGTGAAAACTGTCATATGAATTACCACTACAGTAAAGAGGTAGGCAACAAAAAATGGGACAATTAAAGGTGATGTATGACAAAAAGGAAGCCAGATAACACAGCTTCCAAAGACAGTTCTGTCATAAAATACATATTGTGCATTTCACTTACAAAACTAAAACCTTAAACTTAAAACTATCCAAGCATGTAGTATTAGTATGTATTATATCATTGTGTCAGTTATGCTCACTTTGACATTCCATTTCTATATTACATGAAGGCTGAAATGGAGTTTCCTTAGTTCCGAATACCTTCAACAGCGAAACACTGCCACCTTTTGGCTTGATACATAGACCTCGCCATTATAATTGTAAAACTTTCATGGGTTTTGGGATTTTTTTTTTTTTTGCTACATTTGCCCTTCATGGAGACAGTTGAAGTCTTCTGATCTTATTTAAAATTTTGTGCAGTACCCAGATTTTTCCATTAAAAAAAAAAAAAAGAAAAAAAAAGTATTAATTACAAAATAAACATTGTTTTTCTCACAAATATGCGCACATAGCCAAACAACTTCAGAAGCCACGTAATGTTTTATCTATTTTTTCTTTTTATCCCACAGCTCTTTTTTCTTGGCAGTTTTGATACACATATATACTGTATCACATAACATATTACACTGCATTCCTTTCCAGTGAAAACTTGGTAATGCATTCTTTGAACATCCGAGTTTTGAAAAATGATTATAGGAATAGCAATAACGCATCATTAAAATGCCATGTTCCTTACTCATATGTATATGTACAGTATTCTAGATTAAATATTAAATACTGATAGCTCAACATTTGTATAAGAATGTATGGAAACGTATGCAAAGTCACTTACACCAATGACACAATGTCCCCACGTTGTACATCATAATTTCGAATGCTCCACTGGTTTAAGAGCACTACATCAGATGCTTGTCTTCCCCCAGGATTCAAAGAAGGCTGAGAGAGGAGAGGAAAAAAATGCTTGAGTTGTACATTTCCTCTATGAGTCTTCCACCTACCTCTCGTTCCATCAGCAGGTGAAATCCATTAAATCAGTAAAAACGTACCCGCTTACTAAAAAGGGACCATGTATTCTGGGAAATATATTTCTTTATTAAATGCCATGTTAAATGTCATTGATTTATTAAAACTGTAGTTCGTATCTTTCAGGGCACTACTGTATCTTTACATTACAAATTAAGTTACGCAGGATACACACTTGTAACAAGCCTGATGAAAAGAAGTGATTGCCTTTACTGTATATTATTTAACATTAAAACCAAAGGAAAACCAAAACCACTAATTCCCAGAAAAAGCAAGTTTTCCACACACATCTTACTGCTTATGCAAGCATAACAAACTAAAAGTGAAACATACTTGTAACAATACTAATCTCAGCACCCTTTGCAAAGGGAAAAACCAAACCCTACAGCACATATTGACACTGCCAGTAAATGTAGGCCTTGTGTAACAGGATACATAATATGTTTAGTTAAACAGCAAACAAGGCTAGTTATGGACTAAAAGGAAACTTTCCAGTCAAGTAAGCCTGCTCAAAGCAGATCACCTCTAGCATTCAGAAATATGGTCCAAGTCTAAGCTATAAGTATATTAACACTCATTGTTATTTTATCTACTAGAACCTATGCATTGCAAGAGCCAGAAAAATGAAAACCAGAAGCTAATTACCAAATATTTTATTATTATTTTTAATCAGGATTTCCAGAATTATTTTCCACTTTCATAGCATCTCCCACTAAAGGACAGTATCTTTACATACAAATTATTTACACACAAATTCAGAAACAATTTGCAGTCATACGCATTTTACCAAACACAGGTGCATATGGACCAGAAGCTAACAATGATACTAAATACAAGACAAAGAGGCTGATCTTACAAAGCAGGAATCACGCATACGGTATATTCTCACAAAGCAAACTGCCTGGTACTCAAAGCAGCGTGAGTACCTAAAGGGCAGAAAAAGGTCATCAAAACAAATGGAAATTCTAAATCTATTCTTCCAAAAGATAATGTATTTTGCAGCTGATACTTAGAAGAGATTTACGTGAGTGTTCGCACACATTCCCTCTCAACTAAATCTGTATCAATTTCATCTTACAGAAATATACACCAGGTAGTTACAGTATTGCCTTCGTTGCATTACCCCATTGACTCATACTGTTTTCTGTATTTAAACAAAGGAAATGCTTTAGAGTTTAAATACTTCTAGATATTGCATAATCTTTTTAATTTAGAACACTCTAAATGTGTTACTATATTGCCTGTTATTTCTAAGAATACATTGCTCATGTGGTTTTGACATACAGAGTGGATCTCCAACTCATTACGTATCAGAATTATATTGCTGAGAAATATGGCAATTTAGAGATATTTTTTTTCTTTCTTACAGAATAACATGACATATTCAAAATACCCAGACAAAAATATTATTTTGGTAGAAGTGTAAGGAAAACTAGAACGAGACAACTTCCATTTTATATCAACAAGTCTTTCTCTAATGTAAATAACATAAATTGTGATTCCACAACAAGATGTATGGAAAGTATTTAATGCCGTATGTTCAGAAATAACTTAGTCCCCATGGCATTTTTACCAGTAGTAAGGTCTCCAGTATGGCAAAAAAGCATTCCATAAAATCAGTCAACAAACTGGCTCACAATGGCTCTGTATTTGTATAAGAAAAAAATACAGGGCCTTCTTCTTTCTTCTAGCTTGAAACATTATAACTTGTTTGCCCAAGTTCTTGGCATAATAGCCTGATGCAAATGAGACACACAGGTCTTAATTTAGAACTGTGGTGTAAAAGTCACAAAACATTCACTCTTTCCAATTACTAACTAATTTAACACTGAAAGCATGCAAATTGAGATCCTGAGCCATATGATGAAGCCTCACAGGACATGAGGTTCCATAAGTAGAAGGGTAAAAGCATGCCCTTTTACTATAAATAATGATTAACTTGATAGCTGTTATGCTGCTAGTGAATACCAGGTCACAACTTATTTGCTTATAGCTTGGGGAGAAGAACGAATATCCACATGAGCACACAGGCTTAGGTACAGTAATCCTAATAATAAAGTTAGAAGAAACTGCCACAGAATAATTACAACTGCTACTATGCATAATGGAACAGAACATTCAATAATGTTTGCTGCTGTAATAAGTGTGCTTCGTCAGAGATCGCTAGTCAGGCTACTTGCTATAATCCTTGGCATTAAATTGTTTGCAATAGAACTTGTACATAAAGTTGCACTTAATGCTGTCATCTTCCATCTCACTTGAAAACAGTCCATTTGATTTAATGAATTTACAGATGTATATACCCGTTGGGGGGTTCCCTCTTCCATATAATTATGTAAAAAGAGTTCACAATACCAGAGAAGCAATGAAACTCAATAGAAAAGAAAAACATAAATGGATATCAAGATGTCCATATGACATACATTTTAATGTATACAACCAGCAATACAAGAGGAATTACAAAAAATCCACAACAGACAATTAAGAAATCATGCTACCAGTTATTTGTGTCATTTGTATTCAGTGTTAAAACCAGAATACAACTCATTTGAAACACACTATTAACAAAATGCTAGATGAGCACAATAGTCTGTCACATCCTAAGAAACAAAGCCATCTCGCATAGGGATGAAAAAATACAAAATAAACAAACCAAACAAAAACAACACAGCAAAACAATAATTTGGGGGGAAAAAAAAGGCAATGAAACAATTAAAAACTGTTTAAATTATAAACTGCAATAGTTCACTGTTATTCCCTATAGCTTAGAGTCAGCACAAGTGAAAATTATGACAGGTGGCACTGTAGAAACACAAGATCAGCTTGAGACAATGAAATGCATGAAGTCTGTCTTAATTGATTGGGAATAAATCAGAAAAATTGTATTCTCATTAGAAGCTTTATTCAGTGTGCTTGCCAGGGTGTCAAAAAGTATTATCATCTTCAGTAACTATGAAGCAGCAGTAAGGCTGGCCCAAAACAAAAGGAGAAAGTGAGGGGGGAGAGACAGCACACAACAGAGAACAAGAGTAGGAGAGAGAGCATGACAGAGATTTATCCCTTGCTTCTTGTCAGAACTTTTAATTTCAGGCTCAGCAGGAGCCAAAATGATGAGTACACAAAGCAGCTAGACATTTCAGAGGTCTAATACAAACAAATTCTCGGGAATCATACCATGATACCTTCAAATTGAGACAATAAGATATCACTGGAAGCACACAATTAATGCATGTATGACTGCATGCTGACTGAACTTCTTCCTCATACTCGTAGCTTTCAGATACGTTCAAGATAGATCACTCCAGAGAACAGAGCAAATAAATGGAATTGCAATGTGATGACCAGTACTCCTTCAAGCTACCCTGCAAGAGAGGGATATATTCCTTATAATTATGCCCCTGTCAGACTTAGTTAGGTGTCTACTAAATCTCGGCAAGGATATTAGTATTTTATCAAAAGCACTATGAAGGAGGCTTTTTGTAGTCTGAAAAATATCCATATTCATAGAAGTTTAAAACAAACTTCTATTTCAGTGCTGCAGTGCAAAATGAAACCAGAGAGAGAATTTTACAGACACTGAGATGTCAGTGAAGTTAGAAATGTCAGCTTTCAAAGCTAGCCATACTTCAATCAACAGAAGGAATGTTTAGTCAAAAAACACATCAAGGGAAAAGCTTAGATTTTTATCACCTGATGACTATATATTGCTTTCCCTAGCCACTGCAGACTGCATATCCTTCTTTGTCAGGTTGAGTAACTCTGATCAAATAACTGTAGTGTTTTGCAAATCTTCCATGGATAAACAACATTTAACTATATGCTCTTCAAGTGAGCACAAATGCAATACCCCAGAACAATACCAGAGCACCCCCAAACACTTGAGACTTAGACTTCAAAGGAAACCTAAAACTCTGGTCTTGACCAGAGGAGCTTAACAGACTCATGGAGTAGAAAATTTTTTTTCCAGCTACTAAGGTAAAACTAGCCAAACAAGGACGGGTGACAACAGAACACTATTTCAGAGACGGAAAAGCCCAAACATTGAAAGGCAATGGGGCACACTAATAAAAAACACTGCTCAAAAATTAAAGCTCAGGTCTTGCTCACTAGTTGAAAACAAAAACACACAGCAAAAAAAAAAAAGCAACAACAAAACAAACCTCCCCCCCCCCAAAAAAAAAACATAAAAGCCAAGATGCAGCTGCATCGTGAGTACCGTATGTGGCTCTAGATCCCAACAAAGGCAAAAAAAGGTGAGAGAGAGAATGGGGAAGTTTTAATCGTCTGGCTTATTTTCTATTATCTAGATGTTGATATGTATTTCAGTTTCTCCTGTCTGAAGACAGTAAAAAAAGAGTATGAAACCATTTTCCCCAGTTTCCCACTCCTCTCTTCCTTTCTAGAGCAAATTTCTGGCTCTGCAACTGTAAAACCTGAAATTCTCCTACCTTTGATTGGTCATCAATGATATTCAGAATAATACGCATGAAGAGGGCAAAGGTAACTTTATGTTACAACTAACTTCTGATCTTGGATTGTAGAATTACTGGAGTACAACGATTTGACTTTTGTCCCCATTGAAGTGAGAGCTGCCTTCTAGACCAGCTGTGGTTTCTTGACAGAGGCTAAACACCAGATTACAAACTGTCACAAAACGCACAAAATCACCTTGCCTTCCCTCTTCTGCACCACATGCTTTTTACAGCATTAAACACACATCAGCCAAGCCCATGTTCCAGCCTAAGTTTTGTCTGTGTAAATGACTCACAATTCAAATTCCAGCAGCTAGTCTTGACTGCTGTGAAGCCTCTCTTTAGGGTTCTGAGCTTATTTAAACAATCAGGAAAGAGGACTTTGCATCCAAGAATCAAATCCTTAGTCTCTGCTAATTGGAATGTTGCACTATTGGAACAAAATAATCAGTGGTGACGCAAGCAACACAGAGTGTGTATGATCTAAGATGCAGAGGAACAACATAAAAATTGGCTAACTGCATCACAATATATATTTTTCAAGTCCAAATAACAGAGGAAACAAAGAAGATGTTTACTATCTTTGAAATGTTACACAGCCTATCTATATTTATTTTCTTACACTCTGCAAACATTCAGAATAACCAAAGAGTAGATGACTGCTAAATGACTAGGAAGATACCAAAAAAAAAATACATCTTTATCATTACTTAGATATATATTTTTTTCTTTTTCCTTTACTGAGAGAAAATTTTGGCAATTTTTCTTCTCAAAACCTTTTCATATCATAAAAGTATTTGTTTAACAAAATCAAAATTAAACTATTCCATAATACAACGTGGTCATTTAATATCAATGGAGAGAAAAGACTGCTATTCCACTTTACTATTACCAGCAGATGTTCTCTTTTTAATCTCCTGACATACAAAAAACATTTCCGGCAATACCTGCATTGACGCTCCTTCCACCCTTGCAACGCAGGCAACTCTATCCAGGAAAGTCACCGTTATTGGAACAGCAACAAAGAAACCTTTAAAAAAGGCTTTAATGTATCTCTTCCCCAGCCCTTGAGCCTGCGCCATAATCTGAAAAATACAAGGGAAAAAAAACAGTTATAAAACAAATTTTGAGTAACAACACAACATTATAGCAATCCAACAAGGAGCAATTACAATAAATTAATTATATTAACTGTTACATCCTCCCAGTACACACAGGTGGGGGGGTAGAATTTGCACACAGAAATGAACATAACAGAAATCTTCATCAGCTTTTCTTGATACTTGACATTCATTTACCCTTTAGCTAATTTGGCCATTTCTTGTGATCCTGTGCTAGCAGAAGTACTTGATAAAAATGACTCAATGATAACAGTTCAGCTAAGCAAGAAGCAAACTGATACAACCAGATGAAATCTAATTACGCATTTCAGGTGTTGGGAGGATTAAAAATCAACTAGATTGGAATACCCAATTACAGAGCATTCAGTTGGAGTTTACAACAAAAATCCTGTAAATGATTTTATTTCCATACACTGGTAATTAGTGACCCCCAAATACGTATTGTGTTATGTTAAGGAAAGGCTGACTCTTTGCAAAACATCGCCATTTCTTTGTTCAATATCATCATGCATAAAAATGCACAAACACACGATTTCCACGCTTGTGGTAACTGCAAACATCTAAAACCAATTCAAATTGTCATGTCTATCATAGGGACACACAGAACTGTCTGTTCACTATTCCATCAGAAAGTTGAAAGTATTTTATGAAGCTGGGCAGCTAAGTAATGACACATGGGACACGAGTTGGAGTATTCCGCTTCAACTCACCATTTTTTTTATGCTGTTTCCCATCTATTAATTTAGCCCTGAATCACTGAATATCCTTGAAAAATACCTACAAACTACTCTGAAACACAAGTTGTTTTACCTTATTAGTTATACCTCTGAAAAGCAAGCTGAATATCCAGGTACTGCTGCAAAGGTACAGACTACTTTATGTAACTGCAATTTCATTATAAGAAATGCTGCCCTTCACCTACCAGCAAATCCAATTTAAACTGTTGTTTCCACCTAATAATCCCTGGTAGACTCCATACAAGTTCAGTCTGTGGAGTCCTTGCTCTCTCTATCACATCCTAACTCTGACAGTAATAGGAGAAAACAGACTGTGCCCTGAACTTTTGAGTCTTTCAGTGTGATTAAAGAACACAGCACTATTTTTCAAACAAAATAATGGAAAACATAAATACATGCAGATTCATTCAATCCTCTTACAAACAGAATATTTAAAATTTCACAGTATAATAATTTTTCTTTGTTGCATTTTCAGCAATATGGAAGTGATGAACTATTTGTATGCAAAATACAAATTCATATCACGCTGATGCAACAGTATTGAAAACAGTATTTCTGTCACAGATATGACTTCTTAATTCCATAAAGCATTATGCTGAAGAGAGGAAACTTAGTTCTACAAAGTAAGCCATCAGCATATTCTTCAGTAAAATTCTTTATAAGTATTAATAGCCTTGCAATGACAAGATCTTTCTTCTAAAAGACATGAACAACTTTACTTCTGACATTCACCTTGACAAGGTTTTAATTTTTTTTGTTCAGGTTTTTTGGTTGTTTGGTTTTGGTGGGTTTTGCGGGTTTTTTGGGGGGGGATGAGGGGGTATTTAAGTGGAAATGCTTCACCACCATCTATAACTGTTGCTCATAACACAAGTTTAACTAGTAAAAAGTGTACTTAACGCTTGTAATTTGATTATATTTTCTTCTTGCACATTTCACAAAACATTTTCAGTTTGCGTCAGCAGCTTCCACAGAGAATTTGAAATAGGTTGTGGAACAGAACAAAAACCTCATCAGTTCAAGACAAATGTTAAAATGATTTACTTTCAGCTTATCGTTTAAAAACTCGTTATTGGTACCAATCCACAGAAAGAAACTACTGCCTCAGTCAGCACAGATCTACCCTTAGAATGATTCCACATAAAAAGAGAATCCCTAAAACTTATGGGTTTTTCTACTGTTTAACAAACTATATACCACTTCATACACCTCAACACCCTTTCTCTCAACCTACTGATTCTGAATGTTGCCTCTTGAGTTTTCTGGCTGGAATCCTACCCTGCTAGGAGGTCTGGCATATCTCAGACCTCCTGCACTTTGACAACAACATCAGCCTGAAAAGACAATTTTGAGATCTTGCCCATAAGCGTATTTACCATGTTCTCTTACACTCACTTTTTAAACTGAAAGACACTGCCTGACAGATGTATCACAATATGACTGATTTAAGAAATATTTTTGTAAAGAAATCAGATGAATTTACTAGCTCTTTAAATTCCGCATAGTCAAACCTATGTTGCACTAGTATTGAAGCATGAATGTTCACCCCATTCCTTCTACTAAATCCATTGAAAGATCTCATAAACTTCTTGCAATAGTGCCATGCTTGTATTTGAAAAAAAATAAAATGTAGTACCTGATGGAACTGGTCAGACAATCCACAGGAGACCAACCATATGCTCCTGGAACTACAAGCTAATTAATAGTGACACAGAATCTAGCAGCCACGTTAAAACAGTTATGACAAAATAGTACATTCTCAGTACATCACTCGGCCAAGGCAACACCAGGAACATTAAGCAGCTGTGAAGAAAGGTGGGAGCTCACGTCCTACTTCTATGGTTTTGGACACATGCGATATTACAAGGCACAGTATCAATAAAGATGAGGGGAAAAAACACCAGCAGCACCCCTACAAGCAATCAATTTGCAAAGCCACCAAAGACAACAACTCCTGTTGTGCTGACTTCTCTACATGCCCTGATTTATTTTTGTTCTTTCATATTCCTCCCTCTACTAGGCAACTGATCAAACCACTGGTTTTATTTTCCATCCATACCGAGATAAATTCTTCAGTTCCAGTCACATGCTACATTCTGAAAGCTTCCTGGTTCCCCACCTCCCACAAAAAAACAGGACAGCTTTTCCACAGGACACAAACTGAGCAGGCCTGATCCTTGTATATAAACATAAAAAGACAGTCATCATATATACCATTTTAAAAGTGTAAATTCACCCAAGTAATAATTCAGTAACAGTTGGTTTAAATGCTTTCCAAAAATGAGATCCCTGAATTATCAGTGTTTAATGATACTGTGTGGAGCTCTCTGGTATGTAAAATTCAAAAGATTTCCAAGATAACTGTGGATTTTAAAAGCATCATGTTTCCAGAGCGAAAATCTGAAATCCAATGCAGCGCCTGGTTTATGCTGACAGCAGGTTTAAACGCAGGTCAATAAAGCAAATGAAGGATTCTTTGCTCAAAAAAAAAACCCACTAATTTCACCAACTCATATTTTTGGATCTCTCCCCAGTCAGGGAACACCTTGAAAAAGATCAACAAACCACAACACTTTAAAGACGGTGCAACAAAATAAAACACATAAAACATAGAAAAATAATTTGGAGATGCATACACCCTTCAGCATTTGTAAATTACACCTGATTTAGGGTAAAGAAAAACAAACAAACAAACAAACAAAACAAAACAAACCACAAAACAGAATAATTAAATAGAACTAACAAACTGCATAGCAGCAACCTTGAAAACTTGCTTGAAATGGCTACATAGACAAGAAAAATCCAAGATCAAAAATGCTAGCATATAGCAGGTCAAAGCATTAAGAATTTCACATTGTGCAGCTCAGAGATTAAGGCAGATGGAGCACAGCATTATCTGGACTGAAGTATTTGGTGCACAAAAGGTCCAGGGATTATAATGAGCCTCTCGTGGGTACTACAACATATGGAGCAGAGATGCTATTTAGATAGCTCTCTATGTATAAAATGTTTATTTTTTCCTACACTTGCCTGCACATTAGAAGACACTGTTTATCAAACAGCCTGCAGAAAAATCATCAAGTAACATTCAGAAAGCCCCAGGTTACAATATATTTGCAAATCTAGGTACTTAAAAATTACCCATAGAAGCATGATAGGAAATATAGCTGTAAAAACGAACCATTAGCAGCCATCCACGAAGGAAATAAAATGGCCCCTGATGTTCTTCTACATGAAGGCATGTGAGGGAACAGGAAGGAGGGAATTACAGCCTATATGCAAAACAACTATGCAGCCAAGACTTCCATGTTAGTTTGAAAGGACCCATTAGATATAGTTCAAAATTACTAATTACACTATATACAGTTCCATAATTTATTGAAATAACCAACTTCTCTGTCAATCGCAATATGCATTTTTCTATAAGTCAATGACATCACACTAGAATTCTGGGATATACGGTTTGAAAACAAGGAAGACTTGCATAACAGAAAATACCAAACCACATGAGTGAGCCCAATTCCACTGCAACCTATGAAATATAAAATTGAGCACAAAAGCTTTTGTTTTAAGTAAGACTGCTGCAACTTGAAGACAAGGTTATACCTCGTCTAACAATTGTGATGAAAAAGATGCTGCTCAGTATCAGAATCTGTATGATCTTTTTAACACGTGCCTCTTCTACAACCTTTCATGAGACAAGGCTACAGCAAACTAATGCCATAAAGCCTGACCCTCGCTTCCCACTTAGTCGTATATTTCAAGAACTTTTACAGTACAGTGGTTTTTGAAAGGGTACAAGTATGCAGACTTTTTAGTAGGTTAATTTATGTCATATAAATGTATCCAGGTACTAGCTGATGAGCAGTTATGATGGTGATGAATGCAACAGAATGACCAAAATGCATGGGTCTATGATAGTTTTCAGTTCAAAATAATCAAAATACATCAGTCCATTTAAGTTTTCATTTAATAATATTGCCTAGTTCCAGAAGGAGCTCTCATTTATCCTTCTACAAAGACAATTCCATCCTGGTATTATTTCACCATAGTGGTGATATTTCTATTCCATTCATGGGGGTTGGAACTAGATAATCTTCAGGTCCTTTCCAACCCTAATAATTCTATGATTCTATTTATACACTACACACAGGTTTTCCTCACAGTGTTCTTCCACTGACACACCACCATTAAGGAATACCACTCTGTTGTGAGTTTGGAAATATCATGCATCATGGAAACGACTATTGTACCATTGAAGCAGAAAAACCTAACCTGATCAGCAGTTTTAGTAACTACTCGTGTGGTCTGTAATGCTCTGCTGTTCTGTTTCTCCGAGGTCAGTCACTTTGCCCCCTAATATTCCTACATCCCATCACTGGGATCTGCCTCACGTACAAAGGCTGAGTCCACATGTTGGTTGCAACTGGAAAGAAATTCATATTGCTTATTCTTACAAATTCATTTTGTGTCCCAAGGACACAAATCTTACCCTCATGGACAATCTTGTATTTCCAAACAAAACATTTCGCTCTTCAAACATAAAGCAAAAATTGAAGAAAATGCAACTGTAGCTGAAAGTTTTCCTTAGAAATTAAAGTAACAACTATTTCACAATGGAGAGTAATCAGCCACCGCTCGGTTCTGACAAGTTATTCAGGATTCCATTTTATGCACTTGAGCAGTCAAGAAAAGGAACGGCAATACAACCACTTTTCTATTAAAAAAAAAAAAAAGATATTAGCAATTGTTAGAAATCAAATATTTTCAGAGCACTTCAACTGCAGAAGCAATGCAAGTTTTCAAGTACTATCGCACAGGTGACTGGCAGGGTACCAGCTGTTCTAACATAAAAGATAACGCAATATTTTTATGCATATTTCTGTATCTTCAAAGAAACTAGTCATCAATACATATTGTACATAAAGAAAAGTATCCAATTCCATCAATTTTGGAACACATTTAAGTGAACAACATAAGACATTTAGCTTCTTGCAACTGAAAGTTAAGTTGCCTTTCAGCTTAAAGATTCAGGGCACGCAAAGCAAGTTAATTTTATAAATTGATTTGAAGTGCCCTTTACAAACAACTACCAGCTGCTGTTATGTTTTGGTCTCGAGTTTACTGCATAAATGAGGTGTTGCTTCCAAACTCACTAAATGTGTAAATTATATTTACAGTAAATCATAACGTAACCTTTGATTTTTCATTCATTTGCACATTTATCTAGTCAGCTCTCTGGATCATTTCAAGTACCACGGAACTGTCATGCTAATTGTGGCTACCTAGAATTGGCCAAAAAACAACAAACAAACAAACAAACAAATTAAAAAAGGAAGGGGAGGAAACACTCAGTTTTAATCAAACTATGGAACATTAGTATTCATATATCATCCAATTAAGTAGTCCAAACATAACACATTCCATTCAAAACATGAATATTGCCAGACACAAGCTATTTTCGAAGTTTCTGCATTTGAATTAAGGACAAGTAAGTTAATCACAGAACAGGAAAGTTTCTTTTAGCCCAATGGAAAACAAACTTAATACAAGAAGAAATGAATACAAGAAACAAGCTTCTTGGCTATAAATCTTTCAAGTATGTAAGTATGCAATGAGTATATAAGGACAGAATAATAACTGACAATATTTATTATGGCATGAATAAATAATTCCAAAAATAATAATAGTGAGAATGTATTTAATAAATGAAAAATAACTTCAAGAACCTGGGTTTTATCCTTGAACATTAGAGGTCACTGTGGGACTTTCTAAGAGCATACCTAGCATATACTGTGAAAACCATTCACCACCATATTGATTTTGAGTCTGGGATTTGTGATAACTTCAACTACCATGTCAAGTTTTTGTGCCCTAAGAATAAACAAAGCAACTAAAATGTAAGCATTAGGATCCAGGTATTCCAGAAATAGCTGGAATCTGTGTCATAATGGTCAAATTATAAGAATCTCAACAGAAAATTCCAACTGCGACTATGAAACCATTTGAATCTTAAAATTGTTATTCAGCATGGTCCAAATATTATTCTCTTGGATGTGGATACCACTATACCATGTGTAAAGTTATCTCCCATCTATTCCAAGAGCAAATTTATTACAGTAATGAAATACAAGTTAAACAGAAGAATCCTTAATTTTACAAGTAAAAGAAATGGAAGGCTCCTAGAAATCTCCCAGTCACAACAGTTTAAAATGTAATTTATTTTTTTTTACAAAGTGCATGTGGATTCAGTTACAAAGCTTAATATTGGAAAAGCCAAGTCTAATTCTGAAGCTTTCTTAAGTAAAATTATTTCATCTAACCTGAAATCCCCCAAGAGGTTTTATTTGTCAACCGATTATGCTTGGAAGATGATTCCTATTTTCTTCCTAGTTGAGCAACTAATAACT